AATTCAGAAAGATGGTATGTGACTGCACAAGGACAGATAGTGGTACCCCCCTTGATAATGAGAGAAGTTCTACAAATTAAACTTAACAAATGTCATTGGGGTGCAGAGGCATTGGTAAAATTGCTAAAGCAGAGTTTAATTTCAGTACGGATGTTAACAATGGCAAAATCAGTAATGTCAAAATGTGATATCTGCTTGAAAAACAACCCAGTGGCTAGGCAACAGGCACAGCTAGGAAGAATTTGGATAGGAATAGAACCAGGAGACTATTGGCAGATAGATTTTGTTGTCACGGTGAGGGAAACTTGGACGCTCAATATGAGTGTTTAGCAAGCTTTTTTTATTGAAGAGAGCATCAGACTTTTATGCACAACAAGTAATAAGCTCATACATATTCTGCAAGCTAAGCAATCTATTGGCTATACTACAATATCAGCTCTTCCTCATACCTTAGGGGTTACATCTTTCTTTTCTCATGTCTCTCTCACTACTGGTTATTGTACCACAGCTATGCTCAAGGACACAGTGTTTTGCAGGTGCAGGGACCCAGATTAGCTGCATCCTCCTGATTCTTGGTCCAGAACATGGCCCCTGTCATGTAGCCATTCTTCCACAATTCCCCTGTTTTCTTTTTGCACAAGCAATGTTTGATTAAATGCAGCAGATATCATCCTTTGCACCATATTTTGTAAGCATATGCAAGGCAAAACTAATACTACTAACAAAGCTATAATGCCTACTATAATGCCAGCCTTAACAATAGAGTGTAGCCATGATCCCAGGCCTAAAGATTTGAGCCATCCATCAATACCAAAGCCCAATTCTACCTGTAGGTTTCCGGTTAACCTCTGCAACTCAGAGAGCTGGGAGTGGATGGACTGCAAATGGTCAGAAAGGTTCATGCAACACATGCCTTCAAATTCTTCACAACCAAGGCCTTGTGCAAGCAAAAGAAAATAAATTGTAGCTCTATTTTGAAGCGTTGCATGGTGAATAGAGTCAACATCAAGCAAAAGGCTAGAAAGCGCCATAGAAGTGGCATTGGTTTGCTTCTCAAGCCAGCATCCCAACTTATTTAGGGTGGCATGGGTGCCTGCTGCTGCCACCCCTGGAGCCAGAAAGGATGCCGCAATTATGGCCCCTGGGGACCAAAATTTTACATCATCTTTGCAGTCAGCAGTAAATGCATGGGCCATTCTTTTACTTCGATGATGGCGGCAGCTCATGTTTAGTATCATGGAAGTGTTTGAAGATCAATCATAATAGTGAGTTTTTGAGGCTGAATATGTTGGTGAGTGATTTTCCACCCTAGGTATTTCCAAGGGCTCGTTTCCTGCACCTTTTCTGTAGCAATCACCAGGCCTTGCTGTTGGAGCTGTTGAGCCAATTGTTGTTTTTGCTCTGGAGAGAACAGTGATGATTGAGCAAAAAGAATGTCATCCATATAATGGTAAATTATAACTTCGGGCCACGCCTTTCGAATTGGCTGCAAGGCTGCATCAACATACAGTTGACAAAGAGTGGGTGAGCAACGCATGCCCTGTGGGAGTACCGTCCACTCATATCTCTGGACACGCCCTTCTTGATTCAGCGCAGGCAGGGTAAAAACAAAGCGCTGCTTATCTGCCTCATGCAAGGCGATGGTGAAGAAACAGTCTTTTAGATCAATAATGAGGAGGGACCATCCTTCAGGGAACATTGCAGGATTAGGCAGTCCGGGCTGCAGGGCTCTCATACTATGCATCTGATCATTCACGGCATGTAGATCATGCAGGAGCCGATATTTGCCAGATTTCTTTTTGATCACAAAAATAGGAGTATTCCAAGGACTAACAGATAACCGGAGATGTCCTTAGTCAAACTGCTCCTGTACCAGCTTGTGTGCCTGAATGAGACTTTTCCCTTTTAAAGGCCATTGCTCAACCCACATCGGGTCCTCTGTTTTCCATTGGAATGGGATCGGGAAAGTCCATGCAATGGCCGTCCCTATAAAGGGAGATCTGTGGTAAGGACCATTCCCAACTGTGCCAACACATTGCGTCCCAGCAAGGCGTGGACACCCTCAGGAAGCAGTATTACAGAAACTGTACAGGTGACTGACTTTTCCTCTATAATAATTTTCAGCAGAGGGGATTTCCGTGCAAGCGTTGAGTCCTCCTACTCCTGCGACTGTGGCATTTTCCACATGGGTGGGCCACTGGAGTGGCCATTTCTGCGTCCCTATGATGCTGACATCTGCACCAGTGTCTAGGAGCGCAGCCAGGGTGATGGTTTGACCCTGATACTGGACGTCAAAATGTTTTTTAGGACAATGCTTTAAGTCCACTGTTAACAATGCCATTGTTCCTGTGGAACCAAAACTACCTTCACCACGTCGCTGCTTGCCATGTGGTACAGTCCCTTCGGTTCATTGAGGCAAGGGGATTAATTGAGCAATTCGCGATCCGGCTGGAATAAACAATAGTGGGAATAGTGTTTGTGCCATTATTTGTATTTCACCTGTACAATCAGCATCAATTAGTCCAACAAGAATAGTAAGTCCCGACATGCTGGCAGATGTCCAATCAACAAAGCTCCCACGGTTTGTCTGCCAGCTGTAGCAGGGCCCTTAATCCCCATTGGGATACACTGCGGTTTGCAGTCTATTAAGGTGCAGTCTATTGAGGTTGCCAGGTCCAAACTGAGGCTTCCGCTGGTTGCGGGGCGGAGGGAGGAGGTGCTTGTGCTGGGAAGGCGCTTGGGCTCTGGGCCGCCACTTTTGTCAGAGCGGGGTGACCCCTCCTGCTGGGCTTCCCATTTCCTGAGACATGCCAGCAGGCTGACTCATTGTGTGTATCAGACTTGCAGTGCTGGCACCACACAGCTCCCATTGTACAATCCCGTCGCATATGGCCAGCAGTTCCGCAGCAGAAGCATCGGAATCGTGATGGTCCTTTTCTTTGAAGCCAATTTACCGACGCTTGCATGGGGGCAAGGGCAGCCAACACCTGACTCTGCATCGCCTGCGCCTGCTCCCTGAAACTACTTCCCAAATCTCTTACTGCTTCCACTAACATAGCCTGCAGCCCCACCGGCACCTGAGCCATTCGTTCTAAAGCCTCCTCAACAGTCCCGGTACCAGGGAGTGTGACAAGTATACCCCTAGTGGTGGGATTGCAATTTTGTAGGACACATTGCTTTAGTAGTGCTCTGTGCATATATTCGGGGACCCCTGCTGTCTGAATAGCATTCGCCACTCTGTCAATAAACAACCAAAATGGCTCTTCTCTTCCTTGTTTAATTCCCATGTATGAGGGAATAGCCCCTGGGGATTTCACCCTATCGAGTGCCATCCAGGCTAATCTCATAGCCTCCCTCAGCTTCTCGGGCCCAATTAGTGCTTGTGCCTCTGTCCTTAGGTATGCCCCTATCCCCATAAGTTCCTCTAAAGTAACTCCATATAGCGGATCTCCTGGCTATCTCAGGGTAGCCGCAGACTCTTGGCATGCAGCCTGCCAGTGAGCATTAAACAACAACTGTTGATGCTGGGTAAGCACTAGCCTCATGAGGCTTTTAATATCCGATGGCAACAGTATGTTCCCTCCCCACAAATAATTGAGCATCTGACGAGTTGGTTCTCCGTGGATACCACATTCACTTACAGTGGCACGGAGCTGTGCCAGCCATTTCCAATCTAAGGTAGTGATAGTTGCTTCAAAGTGTCCAGCAGGTTTTGGTGCGTAAACCACCGGACAAGCCACCTCAAGCAAGGCATCAGCAGCCGCTCGGTCGCCTGCAACTACCACCTCTCCTGTAATCTCTCGCCATGCCTTACGCCTTTCATTAGCAATTCGCACCACCTCGGGGTCAAGCATTTCCTTTTTCTTTCCCTGCCGTCCTCTCCAGCTGGAGGTGGGGGGCCAATCCCTCGCTGCCAGTGGAGGTGCAGAAGGAGCAGCTCGGGCGGTTGCTGCGGAGGCCATTCCCCCCGGCAGATACACCGTGGTAGTTGCTGGGGACAGAGGATAAGAGGATGTAGATGCTGAGGCCCCACTATTCTCACTAGGAACAGGCATTCCCAATCAGGCAGAGGCTGCCTGAGCAGCCTTCTGCTCTGCCTGGTACTGTTTTAGTGCATTAGCAACTGTCCACCAAGTTTTAGACAACTTTTTTGGAGTTTTACACTCATCTAACACAGCTTCCCACAACTTATCCCCAAACCTACACCACTCTAACTCCTCAAAGACCTGACTGGGATCTGCAAACACCCTTTTGCAACTCCATATGCAAGCAATTCCGGGAGTTCTTTTCCCAGGTTGATACCCTGTAATCCCCGCTTTTGTGAAAAGCATTTAAAAAGGTCATACACTGCTTGTCCCTCCATTACCTTCTAATTTAGTCGTCAGCACTGTTGCAGCCCTTGCAAGATGTCGGCGGCGCTTAGTCAGCCGAGACCCTTCTCTAAGGTCGCTCGGGGATGCGGAGCCCGCTCTTTTGCCTCCTGTGCTGTGTCGGGACTGACACGGAATACTGCACCGAACCGTGGCTTGCAGGTTCAAGCCCTCTGTAGGGTCCCCGTTCAGGGGCCATTTGTTGTGGTGAGGGAAACTTGGATGCTCAATATGAGTGTTTAGCAAGCTTTTTTTATTGAAGAGAGCATCAGACTTTTATGCACAACAAGTAATAAGCTCATACATATTCTGCAAGCTAAGCAATCTATTGGCTATACTACAATATCAGCTCTTCCTCATACCTAGGGGTTACATCTTTCTTTTCTCATGTCTCTCTCACTACTTGTTATTGTACCACAGTTATGCTCAAGGACACAGTGTTTTGCAGGTGCAGGGACCCAGATTAGCTGCATCCTCCTGATTCTTGGTCCAGAACATGGCCCCTGTCACTTAGCCATTCTTCCACAAATTCCCACTCTTCTTATGATACAATGCTGTTAAGTGTTATTAGAAGCTATTAATGTGATCTGCAGTGTCCATTTCACTAATACATTTATGTTTGCTTTCCAGCTTACCCTGAGATCTTCATTAGCTTGGAGGAGAGCTCAGCCAGCACCTCGCAGAAGGTGAGCAATTTTGGACAAAGAGTGATGCCTGTGACTGCCACCACGCCACCCAAGCAAGGCCAGGCAAGCTGAGCTGAATCAGGCATAGGAGGCATCCACCAAACTGACTGAGCTCACAGGGCAGCAGGCAAGGCATTGAGTTAACACGAGGTGCTCACACCCTTTCCTCTGAGCTACTGCCACCCCCACAGCAGTGAGCACAAACCGGGGACTTCTAAGGACTTCTCTATGGTGTGGGCCTCTGTTTCAGTTTTGGTCATGGCAAAACCTAAAAGCCTACTGAATTGCACTGGCTATGCTTGGTATAAAACATATTTATGGCTCATATGACTGACTAGTAAGCCTCTCTGGCTATTAGCTATGGTGCTTTGCTTCCTGTTCCATCCCTCCAAGTTAAACCTTTTGATTGGCAAGTATCTCAAATCAAGAAGGTTTTCCTTGGAAACAGAGCTCGTGGGCAGGCAGAACCTTGTACTAACCATAACCACCCACTTCACACAATTCATGTATCAGTTGGTTCTGAAAACTGGTATAATTTTCCTGGTGACCTATTTCTGGGTGTGGTGTTGGACATTGTAGGCTTTTGTCTGCACTGTCCTGTTGAACAAAGCAATGGGTGCCTGCTATCACAAGACTGGGCAATAGAAACTCCCCCAAGAGCCTCTGTCTGTTCTTCACCTCCAAACAAACACTGACTTCTTTGCTTCTCTTTTATGCCTTTTTTTGCAGGGCTTATATCTAGTGAGGATATCAAAATTCTATTTATTCATAGGAAGAATTGAAAAAATATTATGACCTAAAAGTGCCTGAAAAATAAGGGAATAATGAAGAGGAAAATAGGAGAAAGCCATTACACTACAAGCTCAGGTGCTGTTTACCATGGGAGGGAAAGAGTTTCAGCTGGATAGTTTCAGTCTTTGTACTGAATGATTGACTTCTGCTGGCTTCACTACATCAAGCTTGTTTCCAACTTAATGTGGGAACCACTTTCTTTGAATGAGGGAGCAAGAGAGGTTTGTGCTGCATGAGTAACACATGCTCTTTTCTTCTGTTGAAAACAAGGGCATTTCTCTTATAACAGTGTTTAGTACTTAACAGTGTAATAACCTGCTAAATAAATATACTTGGGAATCTCCAGGCAGCATGAGGATGAGACCTCTCACCCTGCTAGTGCCCAAGCCTTCATCTAGCCTTGACTTTGAAGTTCTGCCCATCTATTGTTTGCTGAGAAATTAACCATAGCACAAACGCAGATCTTTGGAACAATTGGCATAGAACCAGGACTACTGCATCTAAAGTATCCAATTCCTTGTGATTTCTGGAAATGTCATGCATATTCTGTCTGCTACAAAGGTATCCATTTTTTTATATTCAACATATCGGGCTAGGCAGTCTTTTTCATGGGAATTGTCTCCTTCTTTATCTGCCAAATGAAGAGAGGATTTTCATGGCAATCAGAAAGTGTCTTATTCTCATCACACACACTGCACCCATTATTAGTTCCAGTGTTTTTCCATGTGAGTGTTTGTCACTGGGAGCAGGAGGGTGGGGGTCACTCTGTATCTCTCCAGCCACAGCACAGGACTGGAGGGGGTTGGAGTCCTGACACTCAGGGCAACAGGGCTGTCCCTGGGCTCTCATTCAACAGTGCAATCAGAAAAATGAGGGAAGTGGGCAAGAAACACAATAAAGGGAAAGCAAGTGCTTCCTTCTAGAGCATTGTCCATACAGGCATTTGGAAGCTGGCAGCCAGGAGTGAAATGTCAGAGGCTCACTTAACATACATACATATGTGTGTGTGTGTGTGTGTGTGTGTGTGTGTGTGTATTTAACCTAATAACTGCCTTGTGCTGCCCCACAGCCTAATGTGAGCTGTGTCGTGAGGAAGGCATTTCCCAAGCCAAGCCTCCTGTGGTACATGGACAGAGCGAACCTGACAGAGCAGCCTGGAAGTAAAGCAACCTGTCCACAGAGAAACAGCACAGCTACAGGAGTGGTTCCCAGGGAAAGCTATGACTCCTATCCACTTCTGCCCCAGGGAACCTGTAGGTGTCTATGTGTCTGAGGGGGAGAGCACAAAGGAAACAGCTCTCAAAGCTGTTTCCCCCCTCAAAGGAAACATCTGACAAAAGGCTGTGACCAGAGTCCTCTGCCTGGATGGGAACTGTGGTTTGGCATGACCACACCATTCTTGCCAAATCTTTGACAGTGTCTCAGCAAAGAAACCTGCGGCTATATGATCCTGCTTTCCAGTACCAACATTTTGCACAGCTCTGACTTAGAGTTTGGTGTAACAAGAGGGTACTTTCTTTTTTTTTTTTTTTTCTCTCCCCAAGAAATTTCTGTGGTACAAGAAGACTAGCAAGACAGTGAAGGTTTCTATGAGTTGAGATCAACACTGATGTTCCAAGGGACCCATAAGACACATAAGACATTCTCATGTGTGTGTCTGTTTCCCTTCCTGGGAAATGAAATGAAGATTATTTCATCAAAAGAAATATTTATTTCCTTCGGTATGTTTTTCTTCAATAGGACACAACTAAAATGTTAAGAACACCAAACACATGTACTTACTCGTTACTTAAAATACTGAAGAAATGCCAACAATATAAAAGTTTTATTGTACAAGTTTATCATGCAGTTTGAACTCTCTGGCAGGTTTTTTGGCTCAAATATTTGCTCAAGCCTCTGAATGAGCTAAGAAACTTCTGCACAAACAGAAGACACTTGTTTGTTTAGGCAGAATCTTGCTGTACTTTCCATACCCAAAAATACTCTAATATAGCCACATGGCACTAGTGAACTATTATAATTAGGTGTTTCTCATGGACCACTCATGGCTCCCTGGGAGATCAAATCCTCAGACTCAGGGTTATGTTATACACCTTCAGTAAAACATGCAAAAGGCTGCGCCTCTGTGGATAGTGGAGAAACTCCCTTATAATCTCTACTGTAAGAATTAGCTACATGATTAGGAAGTGGGGAGAAATACTGTCCTGTTTTTTTGGTAAAAGCAGGATCCTTGGTGGTACAGTTTTCAGCACCTCTGAGGATGCAGGGTGACTGGTGAAAAGGGCAGACAGATTTCCTTTAGCACTCTCTTGTGCATGTCTCCTCTTACATGCAAATGCATATTTATACCTTTTTTATTTTTTTTTAATTATATGTGCTTGCTGCTACACAGACAATACAGCTGAGCTGCTGACTCCTTAGCAGCATCTAGGGGCACATCACCTATCATGGCAACTATTTCAGCTCAGCTGGGTTCTCTTGTGGCTGTGTATATTCCTATTGATATGTTTTTCCACAAGGTAAGACTGTAGCAAAAGCCACAGCTTACTCCTCTGTAAACACAGCTTCAAAGAAGAGGGAGATAAATCACAATTTTTCTCAAAAATTACTCATTTCCCCCAATTTGCAGTTTTCTAGAAATGTATTCCTATCGAAGAGCTGTCAGTTAAAGCTGTGTTCTTGCCAGGAAGCTATGCTAATGCTAAGATAGATCCACTCTGTATAAAAATGTTAAAGTACTAAGATGTGATAGAAAGGAAAGAATTACTTTAATTCTCAGCTATCCCTTCTGCGAAGGTGCACAATATGAAACAAGCCCAAACTAAATTTTTAGTCTTTATAACTACTTTTAAGAACTGCTTTAATCTTTCTCTTTTTTGTCCCGTCACAGACAATAAGTCTAATGAAGCCTCAGCTGAAGTTTTTACTACCATGGTTTCAGATGGTAGGATAAATTAGAGAATAAAATAACTTGGGTTGTGTTTGAGGTCTGTTTAAAGTCCTAAAGCTGTTGTAGCATTTACTACTCTAAATGGGTAGTAAGGAACCCCTTTCTGCAGCTTTGACTTCAGAGAAAATACTACTAACCAACATTCTGGTGATGTAATCTGTTATAATTAAGACCAAGCATAATTAAACTCCAGCCTTGAGAGGCACTTAATGTTATTTCTGATGCTTCAGCTGGCCTTTGAATATAGCTCTTTGAGTACTGAACTAATAAGTAAAAATAACAGCCCTCCTAATGGCTCTACCTTCTGTTTAAGCACAGAGCCAAGATCCTCAACATTTTTGCCATGTTAAAGAACTGACATAATGTTTCTTAATTTGTGTAAATTTCGTAAATCCTTGCTCTTCCCCTGCAAGTTTGTCTTATTATCAGTTTATTGCAGACAGATAAATGTTCAGTCCACACCTCAGCTGAAGCCCTTTGGAAACATCTCTCCTGGAGCAGTTTGCTTTGCTCTGCTCTGCATGGGAGGCAGCATGTAGCAGGGGGTTACATGACTTTGTCAGAGAAATGCTGTAAGTAGATGGCAAGAAAAGAAGTATGGGTTTTGTGAAAAACTTTGGCAAGTGTTGGTTGTAGTAGGCCCTGGGGGCCCAGCCAATACCTCACTGGGTACCAGAAAACCATCCCAGATACTGGGGGACCCTGAGAGAGGGAGACTTTTTCCTCTGCTGGCCTCTGCAAGGTGAAATCTCAAAGGAAGCCTAGCAGCTTGCATCTGGCCACCACCCTTCTTCGCCTTGTACACTCTGCAGAACCCTCTGGGAACCAGGCACATCTCAAAGACCTTCACTGCTCTGGTTTTTAGGCCTGTTGCATCTTTGGTAAGGAGTCCTTTATGTCAGCCAGCTACTGTGAAATCCCTGTTAGTGCAGGCAAGGGTCAGCTGAAATGCAAATGAAAGAGGAGCAGTCACAGGAGGTACAAGTATTAGCACAAAAAAGCAGCTGGAGAGTGGATGGTCACCTGCCTATGCTAAGATTCAGTCTGCAGTCCCACCCAATGCCCTCCACCCAATGCCCCTGACCAGACAGAGGTATTTTCTGACTGCCTTCCCAGATATATTTTTCTAATGAAGTGTGTGAACTTTAATAGATCGCTTCCTTCATGGACATTTTTGGGGGGACATTATCCATCCTCCTGGCCTACTAAGGAAGTACTTCACCTCTCCTGCTGGGAAAAAATAGGAAAGAAAACAGACATCTAGGACATATATGCTGCTTGGGCAAGATGGTGTCTCTGCTGAGCTTGCCTGTGTGGTTAACAGTTTTTAATTAGAAGGAATAATTCCCCCTCCTCTTCTCTGAGGACTCAGTGAGCACTTTTCAGTGCAGAGTGTCCCTGAAATTTCCTCTCAGAGTTGCAGCCTCTGAAGTGTCTCATGGCAGGTGCCACCACCAGGTCATAAATGTTGTTTCAGCATCTGTGCTAATACAGTGCACCTCTTTTTATGGAATAAACCCATGTGATTCATTTCTGGTTTTTAAGCTGAGGTGCCACGGGCTCCAAAGTTTTTCCCCAAAACCTTTGTTTCTCCAGGATTTCTCAGCACAGTTACCTCAGGTATTTAATGTTTCTTTCTGGACTACTTGGCTGAGTTGTGCATGGAAAGATTATTTGGAATTTAGGTGTGATACACTTTCTTGCTCCTGAACCTTTCAATTACCCACTTTCCTAAAGCAGAATAAACACCTTTCTTATGCTGAATGTTTGCTTTGATTTGTTATAGACTTCCGTAATTCGACACTTACATCAGCTATCATGACAGCCTCAAGTAAGGGGCAAAATATTACTTATTCAATATACGTAGGATCTCTACTTTACCACTGCCTAAATGTCATGCACACAGAGTCAGAGGTGTGACAGGCAAAGGTTCTGGTGCTGACAGTACCAATGTGCTGCTGCTTGGGAAGTTGTGAGCTGTGAGGTTAGCCAAGCAGAGATGTGAAAGAAATCTTGCTAAAACTGCCATGTTAGGACAGAACGTTAAATGGCATGCTGAATGTTATATATAATTCTTACATATTCTTATAAAATTGAATAATTTGCCTATAAAACTGTAAATAAATTTGTCTTATTGGGACAGAGAGGTGCATGTGATAGAAAAGTTAAAGCCATCACTTTTCCTTGACCCAACAGCAGGGTATATAACTAACTCTGTTTTACCAGACCATGGCTATGGATAACTACATAGAACTACCTTCAGCAATTGAGAGGAAAACTCACAAGAGCAGGTGATCTCCTGGGCTGATATGGCTGTGGCCTGTTGTCATGAATGATTTCTGGCAAGGCCCTGGCATAGCTGGGGAGCACCACATTTAAGTGCACAATCCACTCCACAGCAGTCAAAACAAACTCTGTGTACAGAAGCACAAATAAGCAATGCCAGCAGCCAGCCAGCAGGAAAGGGTCAGCATTGATAACATCAGCTGCCTTGCAAGTGCAAGGAACTTGAGTTGTGCCCCACTGGAGTTGTGAAATGTGCTTTGAGCATTTAGCCTTAACTCCCACAGCAGGATTTCTGCTGCTCAGTCTGCATTTACCCAATAGCTACTGCAAGGTCTTTGATCTAGGTTGTTTTGTAATTTATTAACATTATTTTCTGAAGAATCTATTGACTAAATGTGATACCATGTTAACTGTCTTTAGAGCACAGCTGACATCTGTGGCCTCTCTGGATTTCACAAGTCCAGCAAATTTGACTCCTGCTTCCACAACACAAGGTAATCAATTGAATCAAACTGTTTTCTCTATTGCTTCAACAATGTAGAAGAAAGACACATAAACGCAATAACTATCTTACTTTTTTGGAAGCAAGACATTTAATGTCCATTGAAGTTCTTTTCCTAGTGCTTTGCACACTAACCACTGGTTACACTAACCACTGTCAGTGTAACCAGAGTTCAGGAATAAATATATGAGAAAATACTGTCTTGATTTTATCTTTTTTAATGCTCTCTTTAGGATACATTCATTAATTTTGGCAACTGAACAGACATTGAGTGTTATTAGTGTTTACAAAGAAGTTAATTAGTGTTATTATAGTGTTTATGAAGAATACCTACTGGTTTTAGTTAAATATCATACCTAAATAGAACACTGGAGGAAGATACTAAACACAAGGCTTTGGTCTGCCCCAAAAGAGTGCTCTTTGGGAGCTGAATCCCTCAACATAAAGCCCAGGGGCTTGCAGAGGCTTAACTGAGATATGCCAAGGCAGGAACACAGATTGCAGCTGAAATGAAAATTTGCTGCTTCTCAAACTGCCTTTCCCATCCCCAAAACAGAGACATTTGCCTGGCTGACAGCAGAACACCAAAGTTGCTTGTTCAAGGGGACTGGAAGCCCTTCCATCTCAACAAAAAATTCGTAACAAAGGCTATAAATATACAATGTGAAGAGAGAGGGTTCTCCTCACTGAATTATACATTTTCCCTGGTTGAGGTGGTGCAAGGTCAAACTTGCAATGTAAGAAGGATCTGAGCCATTTTTCTTCTGCAAGTAGCCTGGGAAGCAATTGCCTTTTAACCAGTGGTCCCAACATGTGCCAGTTACGGTATGACAGCCCTGGGTTAGCACTTCTCAGGTCTGGCTCACTGTTGGTCCTCACACTGGTGACACCAGTGTGCTTAAGATCAGCTTCTTGAGCAAATCCTCTGGGCTGCAGTCAAGACAGGACACCAAGCTCAAGCCTTCTGTTTTAGTCTACTGGTTTGGTTCATTCCTGTTATTTTGCAAGTGAAAATCTAAGAGACAGCTGAAAATGCATATGAGAGAAGAGTGCACATATATAGGCAAGAGGAGGAAGAGGGGGAGCAAAACTAAGGCTGCTAAAACTGTAGCCTGGTTTTGCTTAGTTTCCACAACTGCTCCATCACTGAGCCAGAGATGCTCAGGCTTTGAATAATCAGTTAAAGCTGCAGTTCACCTTTGCAGGTTTGTTCAGATGGCTTGATATTTTTCCAAAATGAGACAGTTGTTAAGAAATATGGATTCTTTTTAGTAAATGTGAAATAGTTCTCTTGCAAAAATGAAGGTCAACGTGCTAGCCACCATCTGTCTGTGTTTGAATATCAAATAAATACCTAGCTGAGCTCTAGAAACCTTAGCAATTAAAAAATGCTTAAAGGAAAATGTCAAATAAGTTGGTATTTGGCATCAGACATTACAGGTGTGACTCTTGTACTATAACTTTTTCAAAACTTCCTTTTGCTAGTTCGGAAAACAGTTCTATTTCACTGGAGCCAGTGACATCCTGTCCAAATTCTGATTTATGTATGTTTGTTCATTGCTCTACTGGTTTCAGGTCAAAACCAGCCAGTACACTCAAGCTCCTGAGGTTCACATGAAAATAAGCTGAAATATAAAAATGCTTCAAATGGTTTGTCTAAGTTTATTTACCTGTCTCAGTAAAACTCCTCTTGAGCTTCTAGCTTGTGATAAGCTTTCAAACCTGACACAGCTTTGTGTAATGCCTGTCTGAGGGAAGCCAGCATCTCAAGTAGTGGGCTACACCTGTTTGACCTCATTAGTCAGAAAACAGGGAAGAAAGGGGGAGGGAAATGAAAAACAAATTATATGGTTCCCTACAGCAATTTTTACAAGGCTTTGTGCTTTTCAGCAGGAGCGCTAACTTCTACCACAGAGGCAAAAGGCTATACCAGTGCCACAGCATTCAGAGACGCTTTGACAGCAGCACATGAGTAGACAACACATCTCCTTTGTTTCACAGGACTGCAACAAAGGAGTTATGAAGACAAAGTGCAAATGTGGCACCAGCTTAGTAAATGTTGGGTTGCAAACCTGCAGTAATCTGGAGTATCTTGTAAAAACCACAGCAGAAGGTCCTCAGGTGCTCAATTTGTGATGCCTTCTCTCAGAGCATTAGTTCTGTGGTGCTTATTTTCAGCTGCTAGTTGAGAGTCACCACATTGCCATGCAAAAATTATTACTAAGCATGGAAAACTTGTGTCTGCGCAGAGGCCAAAGTCATGTGGAGTAACGTGTACCAGATTTTCAATACTTCACAGAAGCAATTTTCCTGTTGAGTTCCACTGAATTAGAAGATAAAGACTTGGGTTTCCAAGCTGTCAAGGATTTGCAGTGGCAAAAGAGGAATGAAAAAACATTTGAGTATCCTGGTTTCATTAGACATATTTATTTTCATAATATTGCAATTGAGATGGTTGCTAGGCAAATGTAGTGAGTGCTGAAGGTAGTTTATAGATGAAATACATTGCCAGAGAAGCCAAATAAAATCGCAGAGCAGCAGTGAAATAATGAGATAATGTGAAGTAATAAAGGCTGGCTAATAGAACATTGAAAGACAGTCTCATTAAAGATCAATAAATCAATAAAAAAACCCCTAGGGTGAATATTTTTCCACTAGTCTTTCCCTTTAGAAAATCTCTGCTCAGCAGTATAAAGCCCAAAGTGACTTCCTTTTTTAACATCTTGGTTTGCATTTTGCTTTTGGAACAAGCAGGACCTGTCAATGTGCTTTTGCATTTCCATGGGAGTTGTCTTTTGGCTGAGGCACAAATGTAGCAGCTGCTTTCCATTTTGTGAATGCATTTTTAGTAGCACCCACAACCATGCAGTTATACCACAACCTTGTGACAGCTTCTAATGCTCCACAATTCTGCACAGCTTGCTGGTTGCAATTTTTTCTATAAGCATGCTGAATTACTCTACTATTTGCAGGGGATACTGAGTGTTGCTCCACTCATCCCCATATCCCTGCCACTGCTTCCCTACACCTGTGCCTGCCTGAGCAGCAGCTAAGAGATAATGGCCTTGAAGGGTCCTTGGTCCAGCAGCTGTAATTGAGGGCAGTTTCAGAACACACAGGCACCAGTGAGTCTGCTGAGGCAAACACATGAATCCCTGTGCCCTCCCAGGGCCACTGGGCTCCTACAATAGTGATTACCATTATCATTGTGGTCCTGGGATGCTCTAACATAAGCCATTATGTAAATAAGAATAAATAGTGCTCATCAATGTGATGTATACAGCACAGTCCTATCGGATTTCTAAGTGTATATCCTTTTTTTTTTTTTGCATATAACTTTGTAAAATGCTATGCATTTTACAAATGTGAGATGTGTCATACCTATTCACATAAAATCAAACACCTAATAAGCAAGTAGAAAAGAACTGAATTAATATCCAAAAATCTCGGTGAGTTTTTAGAGTGCCCTAAAACTACATCTTTTTAATGCACACATACACACACACACACACACACACACACACACACACACACTTGAACTCTCAATTTCAGTCAAAGCCAGCAAGCATCTCACAATAAAGAGATTTTCTTGGTTCTGTCTTGCTAGTCATTTACATAATTTAAAGCTAGGTTTTTGTCTTGGATTTATAAATCAGCAGTTATATCAGAGACTGTCAGGTTCCTCTGTTGTTTCATTTGTTGTGTGCATCAAAGTCAGAGTCCAAAACAGCCACAGTAGAGCCTAATGAAGTAATCGTGTACAGGTTTGTAAGACAATTGAAAGTCATTATTTCTTTTTATACAAATTTGAATAATATCACCACTGGATCCCTACATCAGAAGTGCCATGGGAGCTCTGGAAATGCTGTGCCATTGTCTAGATGAGTATTTAACTATTATTTCAGAAGCTGTGAATGTAGAGATGGCTAGAAAAAAAGAGACGTGTCCCTTATGGGACACTGATCTTAACCATCAGTAGGAAGGGAAAAAACTGTCTATAAACAGATGATAGATGATTTTTGTGGGTCAGACACAAAAATCATCTGTGGTTCTTTAGGTTTCTCATTACCATCAATGAGGTAAAGCTTATCATTCTCCCAAACAGCTCTGCCGCTCAAAGCTGCTCAATGCTGGCTTGCTGGAACATCTTAACTATCTTTCTTTTCTTTTTTCTTTTCTTTTCTTTTCTTTTCTTTTCTTTTCTTTTCTTTTCTTTTCTTTTCTTTTCTTTTCTTTTCTTTTCTTTTCTTTTCTTTTCTTTTCTTTTCTTTTCTTTTCTTTCCTCTCTCCTTCCCTTCCTCTTACCCCTTCCCTTTCCTTCTTATAATATTTCTTTTGATAAAAGCACATTTTTTCATCCAACACCAGGTCATAGGCCAAAAATGTACACATCTTGCCAAGTGAATTTTTACACCCTGATCCTGGAAATTTCTGACTTTGGAATTTTCAGTTGGGTGAATAACAAAGGGTTCAAAACAACCTTCATTAAAAAAAAAAAAAAAAAAAAAAAAAAAAAAAAAAAAAAAAAGCAAGTAAGTAACTAAAAATGTTCTGTGCCCATATCTTTATAGGTAACCTGTCCTACAGCATCACAGATCAGACAATTTCAGTTACCAGAGGAAAAGACTTCTTTCCTACGAGCAGCCTGCTGAACAATACTGGTAAGACGTTATCCTACACGTATCCTCTTCTTTCAGCATGCCACTGCAGAAGCACGAAATCTGGAGGACCACATCCATTTGACCAGGAAATTCCAAAATAAGGGAAAAGAGATGAAAAGAGGAGTCACAGATTCTGTATCCTACTATTACAGGTTGTCGCAGGTTTTTGGTATTCCATCTGCAAGTAAAGTTCCAGTGCATGCTTTCTTCCAGCAGCAAAATTTGGCCAGTAACACTCTTGTGCCCCAAGGAAAGCTCATGGCTCATGCAGCATGGTGGACTGGCCACAGCACTGGTTGCCATGGTGGGTAAGACCCAGGGTGACACACCAGTGTGGCCAGCCTTGCACAGGGTAGTGATTCTAGCTTAATGGGAGTTGACACTGAGTCGTATCACCCATGGATCTCTCTGGGACCCAGGTCACTGCTGCACCCTCTGGCAGCTGGAGGAGGACTGTGCTCCTTCTCTTCTTCTTCTCCATACCCAGGACCTGAGGGCACCTCTGTCAGCACTCCCAAGGGTGGCTGTGCAGAAGTGGGAAGGAAAGGGGAATCCCAGCACTGCAGTGGGGAGAGGCAGCTGGAATGGGACCTGGATGCTGTGCTGCTGAGAAGAGGTCACCTCAAAAGGCAGCTGAGCCCTTGGCCAGTTGTTTTGGCAGGGTCTGGTGTCAGTGGTGTGAAAAATAAACCATTGGGAAGGAGGGCAGGGGTTGGCAGATGTGCCTGTCTGCACTGTGACATGCAGCTTCTTGCAGAGCAGCTCACAGGGGAACAGAGAAAGCCAATGGGTTTTGGATTAAATGCTCTCTGGGCTGTGCCTAAATAATCTTGTCAAGTGAGCCAATGGGTGGCTGAAATCAGCTCACACACCCAGTCAGAACAAAAGTGGGCTAAGTCCATAAATCAGAGCTGCAGTGCTCAGAGTTTGGGAACCTCAGCCTGGTGATGAGTGGCTGCACTGACAGCAGCACTATGCAGAGCAGGGAGCAGCAAGCCCCAGACACCAAGCCCTGATTTCCCTCCTCTCTGAGGACCTTCAGATGACCTCCATGTGTCCCTTACAGGTGACAGGAGGAACACCAAAACCAGTTGCTTCCCCTGGCCAAGAGTGGTAGCTGTCCTGCTCCTCCTCTGCAGCACTCTGGTAGCTTTAGGCATCAGGAAATGGTGTCAGTACCAGAAAGAGATGTGAGTACCAGTGAATGGAGCCATAGGGGTGGGAGGGGTGGCACAGAGGGCAGCACCAACTCTAACCCAGCTGTTTGGATTTATACCTTTTCATTTGAGATGACTCATAGCACACAAGACCTTTAAGTACATGGATCATTAATGCCATTTTTCTCATACAGTAGTATGTAAAGTAGAGTGTTCTCAGTCCTTTCATCTATTCTGTGGGTTATCTTTAAAATAAACTTTAAGAAAAGAGCTGCAGTGCAGCTTCAGGGTGTAAGGGAAAAATAAAAGTCAATTTTTGTCCCCAGAGCCCCCCATTTCTATTAGCCTCCCTGCCAGCTGCTTTTGCGCTCTTATTTTCTATGGTTACTTGAGGACATGTTTTAATGAAATTGTACTTCTAGGGCAGGTCTATTTGAGTTTTGAATGATATATGTGAAAGTAGGCTACCCAAAACTCAATCGCAGTCAAAAAAGCATTGAGTATGTAATTATTACCAAAGTTTGATTCTCTACTAAAACACTCTAAGATCTACTGGTGAAAGCAATATCTGAGACAATTATTTTAAATCTTACCAACATTATTAAAATACTCAAAAAATCATAGTTATAATTAATCACCTATGATTCTAGAAAATCCTCTTAAAACTCAACTGTAAATCCTGTATATCAAAGATAAAAACAGGATTTATTTTTTTAACTAATTTGAGGTGGGACCTTTATTTATAAATTGATCAAAAAAAGTTATGAGAGCAAAAGGCCCATGCAAGGATTTTGAATAGTTCATCAGGACCATGTTCGGTTCTTTTAAAACATGAATGAAATAAAACTGTGAGGTGGGAGCTAAGAAAGCCAAATGAATAGAAGAAGGTGTCCTGGGGTTATAAAACAGATTCAGGGAAGTCACAGTATGTAAGAGCTAATGTCAGGTGCTCTTATGATGACTTAGTGCCAATCCACCTCCTCCTGTGAACATTTTACAACTGTCTTATATGCTACTTTCATGTGATAGTGCATTTTCTCTCTTCTATTTCAGTATGAACAGACCTCCATCTTTTAAGCCACCACTGCCTCCAATAAAGTACACCTCCATGGTAGAGTCTGATGGGACTCCCCCATCCTGCCATGAACTAGAAAGCCTGTAACACCACCTGCACCCCTTGTGTAGCACACAGAAGACTGGCACAGCTAAAAGGCTCTGCCTTTGGAACAGTGGTTACAGGAGCTTGGTGGTAATGACCCATATTAAAATTCAGAGCTCCTACATGACATTAATTTTGGAAGCTGAGCACTTCTTGGGACACTTCTTTCATCCCGTGTATCTCTATGTATGCACTGCATTCATAGTAAGTGTCACTGTGAGATTACACATGCTTAATTTGAATTGGGTGATGAACTAGGAATTTGCTATCTCTTCCATGGTAGCAGATTAACACATGAGTCTGCCAGCCTGACTGAAGAGTGTTGAAGCTTGTCCATCTATTCAATGTATAGAGATGACAACTCTGCTGTATGAACATCACAGTTATACAGCAAACAGTGGCTGAACACAAGACTTTGAGACCTACACAAGCTGTTATTGCAATTATTTATTTTTACTGTGGACTAATATAATCCAACATGTAATTTTCTATCACTGTGAAACCAAAAGAAAGAATCAGCACCATACACAGACAGAAAATACCCTGCATCACTTGGCACAGGATTGCAGCACTGGATCATGGAGGGTGGTTGGTGAGATGAAAGATCACCAGCCCTGGTGCAAGTGTATGCAAAGAAGTCCCAGCTGTCATTGGTGAAGTAACAAGAAAGTCAATTTTGGTCCAGAGTCTTAAGGACTGAAGCAAGCCTAGAGTTAATGGAAAATTCTAGTCCTTTTGGAAGCACTATGCCTTTGAAATAATACTTACTTTTAAGTCTGCTTTTCAGGAATTATATTTACAGTATACGTGAAGGAAAAAAAATGTAGTACTTTTATTTTTCTTTGGTCTTAATGAGCTTCCATCACATGCTATCTTCACATTTTCCAAGACCTCAGGGGTAGTTTCCCAGGTAGCTTAAGCCTGTGAAAGAGATGATCCAGTCTTCCCCCTGTCCTGCCCAAGCTACAGATTTCCTCATATTGACACTAATGAACAAATGATGGTGCAGTGGGTGGGCTTGGCTTGGCCCTCTGCACAGCTCTCAGCCAGGTCAGCAGCTGTGTGATCACCAGTGCAAGGCACCAGAGCTGCAGGAGGAGCTCTGTTTTTGGCAGCAATTGCAGTACCTTCAGGCAGCCAAGAAACCATCCCTCTAAGCTTGTTTAGAAATGTATTGTTACCGCAAAGGTATTTCTGTAATTAATGCAAATCAGCTAAATTTCAATTATGTCAGGCTTAAAATTTATATTCTGATTTAGGAATGGGATTTGCTTTATTTACTGCTAAACACTGGTCAATGAGTGTCAGGGTTCAGAGCACTGTATTTCCCGGGAGTTTAGATTAAATGAATGGCTTACTGGAAAGAATGATCTAACAGACTTTTTTTAGAATATTTTGTTGCATTATTTATGTTGTAGTACAAGCAATTCTAAATCCATCATCTGTGCTGAGCAGAAAACACTTTTTTTCCTACAAAACTATACTGACCTATGCGTGGAAAGGTCGATGTTAATTTGAACATTTCTTGTCTGTGTTGTAGAAGGACAGTAGTTTAACTTTTGTCATGTCACCCATCACTGCAAAAGAAGGCAGGTTGTTGGCCTTGAAAACAAATTAGAAAAAACCCACAAACAAACCAACAAAAAACAACATCAAAAAAACCAAACAGATGTATAACAATATTCCAAGGGGTGTGGAGAGCAAGGACGTTCCTCCTTGTCATTAGACGACTGTCCATAGCATATAGACCAAAGGGGGCTACTTTATTATCTCGGGTATTCTGATCCCTACGTTTGCTTCTGGCTGGAGATGTTCCCTCTGACCGTGAGCAGCGCTCATGGATGTCACCTCTTCCTGCAGTGAGCGCCGCTCCCCTACCGCACATCCCCGAAGGCTGCTACTGCAGTCTCTGCAAGCGGTGCTCCGCAGGATAACGATGCCCGGGAGAGCTGCCCTGGCTGGGGCGCTCACAGCCTCTCACGAGGGCTTTCCTCTCAAATCCCTGCGACAGGACACCCGGACGGGCACAGCGGCCGCGCTCCCACCACTCACCAGTAGGTGGCGTCGCAGCACCGCGCCCGGCGGCGAGCGGGGCCGCGACCGCCCCTCATTCTGTCCCGTCCCTTCCCCGTTCCTGCCCCGTCCCTTCCCCGTTCCTGCCCCATCCTCCCCTTTCGTCCTGCCCCGTCCTTTCCCCGTTCTCCCCTCTCGTCTCTTCCCATTCCCACCCCACCGACAGCAGCGCGGCAATGCGGCGGTGTCCCTCCCCACCCTGGAGCGGAGGGACGGGCACAACGAGGGTGCCTGCCCTCCTCTGCCGGCTTTAGAGAGGGAACAGGGAAAGGGGCAGCGAACAGATTGGGACCTGAGGGAGGAAATTCCCCCCGTGCTAGCCCCATCTTCCTGGTTTTCTGCAGGTAAATTTGGTGTAGGACGGTTTATGTTTCTGTTTCCCTCTATCTGCTCCTCACCACGATAAGAATGGAACATATCATTTACTCGATGTGAAAAATACTCGATGTGCATATTATATGGCTCTACACAGATATTTACTATGTATTACATTGTATTGATTAGTAGTGCTGCATTAACATTTTAATAGTATGGTAAGCGTAGTTTTGTAGTTAAAATGTAACTTTTTGTAGTTAAAATAGAAACTATGTATGTGGAATATTTTTTTAAAGAAAGGAATGAGGTGCTCGCACCAGACAGCAGCCACAGGACACATAAATCTTTCTGAGAAAGAGAATTTATTGCTCCATTATCAGAAGAAGTGAACTTCTTCCTGCCTTGCTCAGTCATGAAGACGCTGTTAAGATTAAGACGAAGAAGTTGACACTGACCAGACAGAATGCTGAATGCTTTGTTTGAATGGAATTTATGCATCATGTATGAGATGTATGAATATGCAACGGGCTATTGCTTTTAAGGTTTAATCCTCTGTTAACGTGTGTCCTTTTTTGTGTGTCCTTTTTCAGGCTTATTTTGCCCAGAAAGAGGTACCCAGACTGTCCGTAACTCTTTGTTTTTATTGTCTCATATTGTCCTAATCTCAATTGTTCAAATTTTTATTACTCTAATTATATTACTATTTTTATAACCATTTTATTACTATTAAACTTTTAACATTTTAAAAACAAGTAATTGGCATTTTTCACACTCAAGAATTGTAATTTACTTCAAAATTGACCCCTGCCTTAAAGAAAAAAAAAAACCCAAACCCATTACAACAAAAAAACTCCAAACAAACAAAACAAACACAAACAAACAAACAAAAACAACAACAAAAAAACCCTACTCAACTGTAGTAACTTCAGAACTTCAGCTGTCCCATCCCTAGAGGTGTTTAAGGCCAGGCTGGATGGGGCATTGAGCAACCTTGTCTAGTGGAAGATGTCCATGCCTATGGCAGAGGGGTTGGAACTTGATGATAACTTCAGGATTTCTTTAAACCCAAACCATTCTATGATTCAGTGATTATTTTTAGCAGCAGCTGCCCCACTATGAAAGCTGGAATCATTGGCTTGGACTTGGGTTCTGTCAAATCTGGAATTATTTGGCCAGATCTAGTTACCAGATGCTTGAAGGTGGCTATGGGAGTATTAGATAAAGACTTTTCCCTAAGTGGAAAACGTTCAAAGCTTGCTGTGTGGATATAGTAAAGATTTTTTAAGAGAGTCTTAAATGTTTGTCATGGTTTAACCCCAGCTGGGAGATCACTTTTACCAGTAGGATGCAGAGAGAACTGGAAGAATAAAAGTGAGAAAAATCCTGGGCTAAAATAAAGACAGTTTAATAGGCAAAGCAAAAGCTGCACACCATCAAAGAGAAACAAAGAATTATTCACTGCTTCCTATGGGCCGGCATGTGTTCAGTCAATTATGGGAAAGCTGGACTCCATCAAGTGTAATGGTGAATTGGGAAGGCAAAATGCCATTGCTCTGAATGTCTCCCTCTTCCTTCTTCTTCCCCAGCTTTATATTCCCAACATGGCACCATACAATGTGGGACATCACGGTGGTCACTTGGGGCTGCCTGTCCCAACTGTGTCACCTTACAACTCCTTTAGCAGCCCCAGCTCACTCAGTGGTCGGTCGGGTGAGAGGCAGAAAAGGCTTTGACATTGTGTAAGCACTGCTCAGCAGTAATGGAAATATCTCTACATTATCAACATTGTTTCTATCATAAATCCAAAACACTAGTTCATAAATCCTCGTACCAGATACTATGAAGAGAATGAACTCTACCCCAGCCAAAGCCACATTGCTAAATGCAAATCCATGAATAATAAAACCTGTAAAGCAGACTCAAGTCAGAATCTGAGGTCACATAATAACATGTAATGTCATACTGTGAAATTAGCTTGTCCTACTGTATATGGTCTATAATACCTGCGTTATACAACCATAAAAGCAACACACTGGAAAGCTAAGCAGCTAGCTGGTTTTATGCACAAGTGGTTTTCATCTGCTCCTGAGGAGATGGTGAATACTGCAGGGTGAGGGGGAAAAGTCACAAAAGGAAGGGATTTGTTCTCAGTATTTGTTTGCAGTTGCTAATGTGCCTTGTGAAAGCAGTGCCAAGGCTTGGCCATTGCAGTGGAGTGAGTGACCCTTCCCAGCACTCTGTGGTTTGAATTCCTGCCTGTTGCATCCAGGTGGTGCTGGGTCCTGCTGACAGAGGCCCAGGAAAGGCTGCCAGCCCCAAGCCCATAGGGTGCATGGAGCAGACAGGTGTCTTCAGCCTGGCTTCCACCTCTCTGACCACAGAGAGGACAGCTCTGAGCTTAGAGGATGCCCTGCTCCTGGCACATCTGACAGCCATCCCAAGCCTTAATTGCCCTGAATTACCTTTTGCCTCATTCTGAATCACACATCCTTTTTAAACAGTAGTGCAGCGGCTTCACTTACAAGGCATTTTTTGGTCCTGCAAATTAATTAAGCTTGGCTTGTTTATTTAAGAAGCACCCCTATAATTTGCATGGTGTGCTCCAGTAATTGGAA